ATTGTTATAGTAATTTTCTGGTCATTCAGCTGTTTACTCATGTAGGTTTATGTAGGACATTTTCACTGCATTTATGCATTTATGCATGTGTGCTTGCTAAAAATGAGACTCGGCTCATTCAACGGATTGCTGCTTTCATTTATTCAGCAGTCAAAACACCACTCTCTTTGTTATAATTGAAAACACTACGGCCAGTAATGGTGTAATGTGTGTTGTGTGTACGTACTTTCGTTGCTGCTTTATCGAACACCGAACGAAACACGGCGTGTTACGTTGTCTGTGTGCAATCCACAAGATGATCACCTCTTATAGAAGCTGGTTTCTTTGGTAGATTTGCTTGAATACAAAATGTTGTCTTCTCTTCGGTAGTCAGTATATCTATGAAAGGGGATTCGGCTATACGAAAGTCTTAAACCCGTTTCCATAAATAAGTTAGCTACAGAAATTATTTCGAAAATTTGAATCGTGTCCGAACTTCTTTTATTTTTGAACGTATCATTTGATTTTTAAATTCAGCTTTATTTAAATTACCACCTCCTTACTTTGATTCTGTTGTTACTACTTTGAAGTATGTATATGTTAAATTACTTGCCTAGAGTGCGACCTTAATTCTGGGAGTGTCAAAATTCAATTAAAAATGATTAAATTTGTAATTTCTCAATTGATTTTATTGTGAATTCTCGACTGCGGCTGCTCGGTTCATTATTTGTGTACGGTTTTTTCGTGAATGTTGAAAAATGAATTCGGTCGCTTGATTTCGAGGAAAAAAATTGATTAGAAGTGTTTGAAAAGTTAAAATTCAGGTCGCAACGGGTGCACACTGGTCAACGTCGACAGCCAGAATGAACGGAAGCGGAGATGCACGTCGAGAGGATGTGCTCTTGCAAGAACTTCACAAACGCGATGTCTTCAAGCTTGGGGAATTCGTACTCAAAAGTGGCCTCAAATCACCGATCTACATTGATCTTCGTGTATTGATCTCGTCACCGAAAATTCTGGTCACTTTTCATCTGAAATTCATTCAAGAATCTTTTGTTATAGTAAAAAATTTTTCCAAAAAGGAATCCAAATCTGTTGAGGCGTTCCCTCAGATTTTCAGAATATCACGTATCTGGCGTCCAATCAATTTATTTTACCCCGATCAAAAAATTTATATTTTGACAATTTTCTATCGGAATGAAATTAAATCTTTCAAAAACGATAAAACTGTGGATTTTAGCGTCTTGCCGCAGATTGTGTCTGCGATAAAATCCGTTCTCTTGGACTTAAATTCGACTATATCGTTGGTGTGCCATACGCAGCTCTACCAATAGCCACTGTACGCCCTTCCATTTCTTCAAAATCGATTTTCGATCATACATGAAAGCCACGCGGAGAAATATTCGTGATTTTTATCTTATATCACTTTCAGACGTTCAGTTTTTTTTCATGAATGAAACGAAAATGTTCTCAAATCACTGTCTGACGGGATTTCCGTCATACTATCTTTTCGGTTTCATTGAGCATATTTTC